GAGAGAGAGAGAGAGAGAGTGTAGGTGCAGGACAGACGGCACCATTCATAGGTCGGGAATACAATTGAGAGGGTAGGAGAGGGACAAAGCGAAGAGAAGGGGGTTCAAAAGGTGGAGACAGAACTACATAGGAGGCATTATCTTACAATAAGGGAGAAACAAGTCTTAAATACCGTGAAATTCATCACAGTTTCCCAAACATTCAGACTCCAGATCAACGACAAGGTGCAGAAAGGTGAAGATAGGATTTTCGATTGAGGACGAAGGAGCAAACGAAGGGCAATTAATACCCACCTCTCCTCCCAGGTATGATAGTTCACCAGTGGCCACCAATGTGGTGTCATGGAATGCTGATCGCCCAAGGACACGCACAACAGTGGGGTCAACCAGATGCTTCCCTCCAAGGACCTTCAGGAGAGTCGTCTTACCTGCAGCAACATCATCCATAGCAGCATCAGCCATAGCGGGGGGGCACAGCCATAGCATCGAAAGCCACATCAGCACAGCCATGGCAGCACAGCCATAGCAGCACCAGCATCAGCCATACAAGACATAGGAGCCATAGCCAGAGCAGCATCAGCCAGAGCAGCCACAGCAGCCATAGCAGCATCAGCCATCGCGAGTCCGCCAGGTCAGCAGCAGTGCCATCGCCATGGCAGTATCAGCCACAGAAGCAGAGCCATAGCAGCGACAGCCACAGGAGCCATAGCGGCATCAGCCACAGCAGCAATAGCAGCATTAGCAACAGCAGCACAGCACATAGCAGCGACAGCATCAGCCATAGCAGCCATAGCAGCGACAGCCACAGCAGCAATAGCAGCATCAGCCACAGCAGCACAGCACATAGCAGCGACAGCCACAGCAGCAATAGCAGCATCAGCCACAGCAGCACAGCACATAGCAGCGACAGCATCAGCCATAGGGACCATAGGGGCCATAGCCATCACAGCACAGCCATCGCGAGTCAGCAAAGTCAGCAGCACAGCCATATCCATGGCAGCGTCATCCGCAGGAGCATCAGCCACAGCAGCTCCGCCATAGAAGCGGCATTCGCCTTTGCGGAGACATCAGCAGCCATAGCAGGACAGCAATAGCCGCGACAGCATCACCCATAGCAGCGTCCAGCCGCGTCAGCACAGCCGTAGCTTTGGGCCCAGGCAGGATTTGAACCCGAAGGTCCCGAACCCTGTCCCAAGCAGGAGGTCAGTTTGGCCTGCTTCTGTTTTTGTTTTTTTTGGTTTGTTTCTTTCTTTCTTTCTTTGCCTTGTTCTACTGGATTCGAACTCGGGTCTGTATTTCAAGAGGTGAAGGGTGTACCAATTGAGCTACCTAGGCCGGTTGGTGTTTATTTTCTGCGGATTGCAAAGATGAGCAGATTCGAACCAAGGACCTGACAGTGGAGACTTTATCAGCTGACTGTAGACGCCCAGGGCCTTGAACGCCTACAGACCTCCAGTGCTATACATAGACTTGTGTACACTCTTCCAGACTACAGACTTGTGTACACTCTTCCAGACTACAGACTTGTGTACACTCTTCCAGACTATAGACTTGTGTACACTCTTCCAGACTATAAACTTGTGTACACTCTTCCAGACTAGACTACGTATAGCACTGCAGAACCTGCAAAAACTAGTAATAGTATAGAGTCTATAGACACTGTTGTTGGTTGACAGCAGATGCCCAAGAGGCCATAGAATCCTTAGACAAAAGTAGCAGGTTGTACTTACTACTGTCTTCCACCCGAACAAGTGAAGAAAGTGGATCAATAAAAAAGCCTAATTTTAAAGAAATATTATCATTGACTTTGTCATCACGGTGTACTTGGGCGACTATTGATGTACACGCCAAAACCTGCAAAAACTATTACAGCCCCGACGGTTCACCTGGATTCGAACTTGGGTCTGTATTTCAACAGAGTTCATTGGGTGTACCAACTGCGCTAGGGCCGGTATGTGTGTGGAAGTTTGCTATCAAGCATGCATATGCTGTGTTGCTCCCAATTAACTTTTTGTTTTTTACTTTATTTTTTTAATACCTTTTTATTATGGGCCCAGTGCCCAAGGCAAAATACGAAGCTGCACTAAGTTCCAAATTCAGGGGCAGGCGTCAAAAGTCTCCAGCCTACTCAGACAGGCGCCAGACGGAGCCCTGCAATCCTTTTTTTTTATTTCGAAAGGCTTATGATCAGGTCAACTGGGCGTTCCTCATGCAAGCATGGGAAAGATGGGAGTAGGTCCAAGACTCCAAATTTTAGGAAGTGGGTTCGTATTTTATACAATGACGCTATAGGCTGTGTCCAAATCAACGGCCTGATATCTGACTGTTATCCAATATCATGGTCAGTCCACCAAGGCGATCCGCTCGCACCACCAATCTTCCTCTTCGTAATGGAGGCTATAGCATCTTTCCTGCGCAAGGACCCGTCCCTCCACAGGCTACCAGAAGTAAATGTAGGCACACCCCACCACCTTCACTTCCCTACAGTGATCATGTTTGCTGATGACCTGACTGTCCTCGTCCGAGCCTCGGATTCATCTTGTAGTGCACTGGCACGAGCCATGGAGGCCTTCAGATTGGCTTCATAAATGAAAATCAACTGGAAGAAAACGATTGGATGGAGGTTGACTGAAGAGGAAGTTCCCCAACATCAGGGCCCGGAGGCGGCTATGACATGGGAGAAACCAGAAACACCTACAAGATATCTAGGCATCCTGATGACGAAAGACGGCTTCACCTCCCAAATGGCCCAAAACATACTCGCTAGTCAAATCAACAAACTGGGCAGGTGGGGGAACACTTTCACATCCCTGTTAGGCCGGGCTATCAATACACCGGTTTTCTCAATGATATGGTACATAACTTCAATCTGGACGGTGCCAGATCACACAATCAAGGACCTCGACCGCAAAGCAAGAGCATACTTGTGGTCGGGTGACCCAAACAAGGAGAACTGTATACCAAAGATAGCCTGGCACTACATCACAAGGAAACCAGCCAGAGGAGGACTTGGCATCATTGACTCCAAACAAGAAACAAAAGCTCTACAAGTTAAATGGATTGTCAAACTCCTTACCAGACCGGGTCTTGCGTCGAACAAACTAGCCCTGGACAGTATCAGGAGCCTAGCCCCAACAACCACACCAATGAACATGTCCGGTCCGTTTTGGGTGAGATGAACAAGGAATGGAGTCCAAATACAGGCCGCAGAAACCAATGGAGAGGACCTGGTCCTAACGAAGCCAGCCCCCCCACACCTTACTGGACTGCACTGCTACGGATATGGTGGGAAATCGTGCCAAAGAAGGTGGGCAGACCAAAGTCCAAAGAGGAGGTCCTGAGGCAGCTTTTATTTGATAATCCTTGGGTGAGAGATGGAAGCGACCACCCACTGTCCTTCAAGCCTAGAGGGCAGAGATGGCTATCTTGGATTAAGCATGGAGTCTGGAAAGTGAGCCATCTATGGGACGAGGAGAAAAAGGATTCGTTGACAGAACAGGAACTGGCCCCTCAGCGAAAGGGTTGTCACGAACGAGATGAAAATCTGCAATCCATCATCAAATGCATCCCAGATGACTGAAAGGAACTGCTGTGCGAAGACCAGATTTGGAAACCGGGGGAATGGGGGGTGATGATACAAGAACGAACCCCCTCTAGGGATTATCAATTCTCCCACAAACAGCGAGAACCGGATACCCTGGCAGTATGCACCTCGTTCCCAATTACCTCGTCAACACAAGGCTTCTCATCCATTCTTAACAAAGAGGTGGAAAGAACAGTTCTAAGTCCATTTATGGCCAAAAACGATCTTCCGGATGGACACAGCAATTCAAGACCTGGAATTTGACCCAGCAGAATGGGCCTGGACACCCGACAGGAGTAAGAATCTGAAAACAAATGTCAACATCCACGATTATACTGTCAAACTAGGGTACAACCGCCTGGAGATCATTTTTTTTTGTTTTTTCTGTTTTTTTTTCTTTTGCCCTGTTTTATTTTTGGTCAAGGTCTGTGTGTGCCAAGTTTGGTGTTTGTTGGGGTCTTGGAGTTGACTGTTTTGGCTAGCCCTAAAAAATCCTGAAAATCCTGAACACTGAAATGAGTGAATTTTGCATGAAAACACACTTTTGCCTTGATGTTTTATAGGTTTTTAAAGTTCTTTTTTCATTTTGTTTTTTGTAAGTAGTTAGTATGATCTCCACTCTATGAATTGGTGGCAAGTTTGGTTAAAATGACCCTTGGGTTTTGTTATAAATGGCCTGACAAGTGGTCTGAAAATTGAGGTCTCCGTTAACCGTCTCTCCTCAAATACCGTGCAAAAAGTTCCAATCAATTCCTCCAGTCAAAATCAGAAGCCTTCAATGGCTCATCTCATACGTGGCGCTACCGCTCAACCAATGGTTGCACATCAGGAGACGTAGGAATGACCCAAACAGCTCGGAGCTATCCGTGATTCGTTCGGATAATGAGCCAGAAGATATGATACACTGCTTAATACGGTGTAGGGAAGCGACTGAATACTGGGCTAGGGCTTCGGACCTATGGGACTTCCCCTTCCCAACCCCCCTCCCTGGACACCCCATCCAACTCCTCCTTTGGACTAACATCCCGGCTCATTTCTGCAAGACGGAGAAGATATAATGGGGGCTTCGGCATGATCAGAAAGGTTACACTCTGGGCTCTATGGAAAGAAAGGTGCAGCAGAACCATTGAAGGCCTCTCAACGTCAACTTGAAGAAAGAAGGTATGGTCGGAGACAAGAGCATTGATACAGGCAGAGATTCTTTGCAAATGGCAGAAGATAAGACACTCCCTGCCGGATGATGTGGACCAGCAACAGAGAATTAAAAAGAAATTTACGACGGGGTGGCGGGTAGGGGGCAAGTTAGCAGACATACAGGCCTCTCATGTTACGATGGAAGGACTGGCACAATTCAGAAGCCAGTTGAAGGAGGTCCCAGCCTACAGGTGGACAAGGGTCAGAACAGGTTACGTGAATCCTGTGGCAAAGGCGCGGTATACTCAGGTGCTGTAATTGCGGCTGCCTCCATCGTCTAGCCCTTTCTTGCTCTCACGATAAATAAGACAGGTTTAGATAACTCTGGACCTGAGAGGAAAGGTAGATGTATGGCAAGCTGACAGTCAATCCTCCGCAACGCTGGAGCAATCAATGCTGTTCAGGGGTCCTTCGGCCAGACGGAAGGAAGCGTGAGGGTGTCTCATATTGTAATTTCTGACTTGCCAGTGGAATAAGAATCGGACTGATGCTGCCCAGAACGGATATGGAGCCAGGCCCATAAGGACCTGTTTTTCTTATTAAAAAA